GCTGGGTGGTGTTTGCCCTGACGCATCGGGGTGCAAGTACAAACAAACCATAATAAAAATCACCGGTTGTACGTTCTCTCTCCATGATCATCTTGAGAACTCATAAATCGGGTATATGGTGTATATAGTGTATTTGTCACGACCATGCATCCCGGCCCGTTAGCCGCCCGTCCCGATGCTGCCCAAGCCTATTCCCGCTGTGCGAGCGCGAGCGCGAGCCCCAACCTCAGCCCTATCCTTGTCAGGGACAGCTCCGAAAGCGGCAAGGTCCCGGCACGAGGGACTCGATGGGACAGGTGTCGGCTATACGTACCGGCGGTCCCGTCGCGGGGTGAGCATCCCCGACCACTGAAGTGGGAAGTTGAGTTATCATTAAAGGGGAAAGCTATGGTACTTACCTGAAGTGGGAAGTTGAAAGAAGGCTGCTTCTTCTGTTCCCACTCCAGGCGCTATTATATACAGGCGGTCAGGGTCACGTGGGAGAAGCCACGTCATCTCCACACACAGCCACGCCCCCCCGGGTGTCTCCGCGGGAGATCCCGGAGGTGGCCGCTGTAGGAGAAATAATATTCAAAGAATAAAACAATGATCTATCAGAATAGTCAACGAACAGGTGACAAGTTCAGACGTTTAACAGATCTCATGATCTTTATGAGACTGGACAGACATTAGAAATCATTATAAAATATCTACACCCATGTAGTATGAGATTTAATCTACTACAATCATGCCTAGAACTTGGCATAGGTGTAATATTCAAAGAATATATCCCTACAACAAGAAAATAGCACATAGATGGCAGAATAAGAAGGAACATTGGGAAAGAAATGTAAATATCTCGGGAACCAGCAAACCTTTGACTGTAATCTTTTTACCATCTGGAAGGACTGTTTCTTAACTTTATCCACGGTTTTGTTTCATTCTAAAAGCTTCAAAACTGACGGAGATATCGCTCAAACGGCGAAACACCTTATAATTCATATATATTTATTTGCTAATTCTTACAAAAAGTAATGTGACTCAAGGGAAATATATTGGCGCCCGGAAGTCTGGCGGACCGAATACCATATGATAGAGTATTCCCCGGCGCGGGCGGACAGTTTTTGATCGCATCAGAAGAGGAGAAAATGCTAAAAAACCGGATCTTGTATATTTTCCTATGATTCATCAAAACTTTTTGATTTTAAGCTCAAATAAATCGGAACAAAGGAATGATTGATGATCTGGATTTCGGATCATAAGCATGAAGTGATTCAGAAGTCCGCGGATCGGTTAATTAATTGGGAAGGCTCTAGAACATTAGTAATGATGCGGCTTCACAAAAAGGGGTCAATTAGAGAACAGTCTAGAAAGTTCCTTTATAGCCGAGTCATTTCTAAAGATAACCGTTCGTAATTAAGGCGGTGTAGAGCATAGCTTCAGCGCTACAAGATCCCGTCAAGATCGGCCCAAAAGACAAAGAAATGAATTACTTATTGCTGAGTCATGTCCTAAGTCCATTATTAAGCTTACACAGCCCAAGCCCCTATATCATTCTAGAACTATCTATAATACAAATGTAGCACATGTAACTAGTGCGAGGCGTGGGAGTAGAGAGGCCTCTGAAAAGCATAAAAGACCACCGCTTCTGCCCCCTCTCAAAACTCAGGTAGAAATAAAAGTTTAATTCTCCTCACCAGTGGTTGGTTTATTTGCTCCAAAAGATAAAAGCAAATATTAGTTGTTAGCTAATATAAAACTAACACGTCACTCTAAGCGTGAGTTAGGGTCAGTTAGACACAGCTGAACAAAAGTGTCATAGTGAGAATTAGTGAGAATTTGGTGGAGGGACTTCTTAATTGAATAATCTCTCAGCAATATTTGGTTATCACACCACAGGAGAAAAGTGAGCGATCCTGAACCTGCTAGATAACTAGCACGCACTCTAAGCGATAGAAAGAGCAGTTTGGTCACTCCTGTATTGAGTAACATTTATTGTGGAATTATTTTATTAGTAGTTTTTCCTTCAGTAAATTGTCAGGAAAATCACATCCTACTGAAAAGTGGTATATCTAGGTGTAATATTGACTAGAAATCATAGTAAAGTCAATATAGAATTTTATCCGTAGACGATCTATACGTCAGGTGAGATCGTTGGGGGGTGTTTATTGTTGTTTAGACAGTGAACAATCATATATTTGGCAACCAAAACACGGTCAGTACACAAATCAGCACAAACTCTAATATCGTTATTGGACGTAGGAAACTGGTTACATAAGGTGATCCAGCTCCGCTCCTTCACTGCTCAGTAGGCGGGAGAGTGTGCGCGGCGTGTGCGGCAATCGGGGGAGTGGGGTTAGGTACATAGTGGTACATGGAGAAAAGGGAAATCGACCGTAGAATAGAAATAGAGAGAGAAGGGGAAAGTGAGAAAGGAGGGACAGGGGGTGATAGCGAGGAAAGCGGGGTAGGCGCGGGGTGCGGCGCAGGGTTGGGCGGGTGTGCCCTGACAATCCTCCCTGAGGGCCCCCCGCTCACTCCCCCACTTGCCCCTAGGCTCCCCTACACTTGGCCGACTCCCCCACAGCCACACCGACCTCCCTGCCCCGAGTCTGCCTCTGGCACCGACCTAGCGTGACTCCGTGACATCGCCTACTCCGCTACGATACCATCGCCACTATCGTGGCCCTACACCCCTTCATTTATTTATCTGTTATTGTTTGTTTTGACCCTCGGTCATTGCTGGCCACTGTGCGGCCAACCCCGCTCTTTGTTCCTATCTGCTTCCGGACCCTTCGGCCTTCGGCCCGGGTCCGCTTCTATTCATTCTACCTTCATATATATATCCTGTATACTACATTATAGTACCTTAGCTCTAATATCGACTTGACCACGACCCCAAGCCCTGACCCCAACAAGGCAGCCCCAGTAAGTTCGAAATGAGGGCCAAGAGACAACTAGGGGGCACAGCACTCCCTTTAGAGTTGCTGAGGCCAAATGCCCTACCCTCGGGCCTTGTCTGAGGCATCGTGGCCATCGCGGCCCTTAGCGGTCCGCATCGGCGACCTTCGGTGCCCGACCCCGGATCAGTATCTAACAGTATTTCTACAAAACGGACAGAGGAATTTTTATGTATGTCCCTACAAATGAAGATATGGGCAAAATGGACTTGCTTTCTCGATCACAACAAAGCTATTTTTGATTTTCTCAAAAATTCCTCTGTCCGATTTATATTTTAGGTCATTCTGATCGATGTTTACTAGTGAAGCTTCTCTTCATTTGTTGTGTGTGGCAAGAAAGTACACAAGACATTTTGGTGACGCTCAACTAATACATTGTCCTTACATAATCAGAACACAGAACTAACCTGGGTTGCCCACCCCCATTTAGAGGAACAGAGTATGCATCACCGGTTGGGTCACAATTTTTGTGACACAAGTTGTCACTGCATTTCTGTTCCCCCCTGGAGAAACAGAGTATGCAATCACTGCTTGTGTCACAACAATTGTGACAAAAAGCCATTTTCTGTTCGCCTTGTGCATCACCGCTTTTGTCATAGTTGTGACACAAACTTTGTCACGATAACTGTTGGCACCACCTGAACATAAAAATGAGAACTTGTAGGTTAACTTCACCACATGGTCTCCACCCTCCTCCATTGTACTGAACCAGGATGATGCTGAGGCCAACTCACAATTGGTGATGTTGAGTCTAAGCAGCGCTTGTGATCTATGTGTGTTTCCTTTCTCAGAACAGTTGCTGCCAAAGAGTCTCTTCACCATGGCAATATTAGTGAAATTTCGATGCTGAAATTATGTCATCTTCTTTCCCCTTATTACTCAATTCTCATTACATCTTCGCCAGATCCTTTCCACATGTCTACTTTCTCCATTCTGCACTACACCCCCACCGTTGTCTGCTCCCACTCTCCTTTTGTCCTCCTTCCCAATCCTCTTACATGTGATAGTGTTATGTATGTGCTAAATGGTGTCAACGCTCCCCTTGATGGTGTTCCGATGTCTGCCACAAGTATTCCATCGTTTGTCCTTGAGCACTGTAGTCTGTAAATGCATATGGCAAGTCCACCATTATTTTCCATCAGGCCACCTTCAGCCATGAACAAGTCTATCGTCTGCACCACTGGAAAGAGCAGTATTGTATTTGCTCCCAAGTTTTCACTGGCAATCGCTTTAAGCAATATTGGTGCCAGTCATATAAGTTACACTGAATGCCATAATTTTTCCCCCTCCCTCAGTTCTCCATATCAAGACTGAGGTGATACCATTTCCTTCTTGCTATGTTTGCATATAACTCATTGTACTTTCATGTTATAGTTGATGTGTAATAGGTAAAAAAAAACAATAATATTAGTTCTCCATATGGAGACTGAGTTTACGCATAATAGCTCTGTCAGAGACCAGATTCGAGACGAGGGAGTGTCTCCGTAGCGGAGGGCTTTGGCCTCAGCGACTTCTGCCAAGAGCGCTGTGCCTAGTGACACGTCCGTGCCCTAACTTACTGACTGGCAATCAGAACCGAAGGGGGGGTAACTCTAGTTGATTTTATTACTGGAGTGTAACCTATGTACAAGCGGGATATATATATGGTTACAGCGAAGATGGGTCCGCAATTGGCGGAGCCGAATGGAGCGGAGCTAACAGGGTTAAAGCATTAGCCGACTGAATATTACCGACGAGTCAGGTCGTGGGGTTAGCGGTAAGGCAGGCGAGTGTATTTCCCAGCGGAGGCGGGGGTGCACTAGTGGACGTCAGAGCTGTCCAGAAGTCTTCGGAGCTCTGTACTTAGGGAGGCATAGGTAATAAATTGAAATGAGGGGGTGGTGACCATTGAGGGGTACTGAGAGGATTGCGGAATACGGGAGCTCCGAGGTTAGTGAAGAAGGAGTGGAGTTAGACCGGAGGGAACGGAGGGACCGGAAGTCGATGGCCGGGAATGGATATGACAAGCTCCTATTTTAATATCCTCTGCTCGGAATCATATTCCCTGTCTTTTTGCAGTGCCTATGCAAAGCCAGCTTGTTCCATTGCATTTGCACTGCATGATGCGATGTCACTAGCACTGCTCCAGCCATGGTTCTTCCCCCATGTGCTATTCCTAGCTGGTCTCCTTTTCCTACTAACAGTTTCCATAGCATCCTGATATGTCGCTCTTTGCACTTCCCATGTCAACAGTAACAGAGGAACTGTCCATTCCTTGTCATGGACTCACATTTGCTGTGTGAGATACAGATCTGCCACCAAGTTTTGCATTCTTTCCATAGCATTGGGTCCTTCGGTTCCTTCAAATGTTGTAATGGGTTGATCGCCTTGACTTTGAGACAGAGAAGAGGGGGAGGGTTGTAGTGATGTGCAGGTACAGGTTGGGAGGTCGGGTTTTGGTCCGGGGGCGCTACTAGGTCTGTAAAAACCTCAAACTAACACTCACCTGGATGGCGTCTTTGCCACTTGGATGTAACTAGTTTTTTACTCCTTCAAGGGGCTATTCAGTACTAACTTGTTATGTACAAGGTTTCTCTATTTTATATGGGCTGGAAATAAAATGAATGCAATGGAAAAATGCAAACAGGCTGATAGGCAACTGTAAATAAAGAATGTCCAATCAGGGACAGAGAAACCATAAAAGATATAGAATGAATGGGGGAATTGTGACAATGGATCCAAAATGGAAATTGTAAGGGTTAACTCCACAACACTTCGCTACAGCGCCCGCCTATCCTCCCGTCAGCAACCTCCCTGTCTCCAGCTTTCCAACGAATCCTCATTTGTCCCGATTGGTGCAGTAGTTCCTGAGATATGGCCATTGATAGGTGCTGTCAAGACCACGTGAGGCTCTACACCGTGCTGAACCATCCAAGTATGGGGTTTCCATTCTGGGAAATGCTCCGTGGGTGAAGGGGGGAAGGTAGAGCATCACCATCGGGCAGAAAAATGGCTATGTTTGATGTGTAGTTGTGGAGGTCTGGGGAGGGGGTGAAATTGGCTGTGTGGTTGGGTGTGGGAAATTGACCTGGGACTGTCAGGAATGATGGGAAAAATATGGAAAAATAGGGAATTGGTGTATGTAGTGTGCGTTGTTGGGTAGAATCCACAGAATCCGACTTTTTGCGGTGCATGGACTTGTCCCCACAAAAACTTGGTTCCTTGGGTTGATTGTAACCCAAAGACTGGGGGGGCCATTTGATTGTTTGACTCCAGATTTTGCTCCGAATTGAGGCCCTGTGGTTGGAAGATACCAAAGGGAACAAGGGAATGAATGGTCTCTGCAAAAACACCCATCTTGATACTGTAAGCACCATCCAATGTGTTCAATAAATGTGGGGGGGGGGGGGGGGGTGATCCCATTCTCCTTTGGGTATTCTACACCTGTAAGGGAATAGGCAAGGGAATGCCCTTGAAGAAAAAGCCTTGTTTAAAAAGGGAAATGAGATACTAGAGCAAGGGATGATGAATACAGAACTATGAACATACCTCGACATCATCGCAAATGTAGTTGTTGCATCGTTTTCTTGTGTTAGAAAAGGAAAATCATAGCACCTAGCGATCAAGGAATTTTTGAATCTCACCACTCTTTCCTCAGTTCACACACTACGGCACTGAGGTGAGTCTGACTATCCTCCTCTCACTGTGTCCATCATCTTGTACTGATTCATGTATACCAGCGATATACCGCTAGGTAATTACTCTCCCCTAGTTCATGTGCTACTGGACTGGGTGATATACTCCCCAGTCTTCCATTTCATCTTGCCCAGAAGATCTGTCCCTTTTAAATCCAGTGCATGCAGGGAGACCAGGTTGTCGCCACCAAGTAAGTCAGCTGGCCACTTGCAAGTTGAGATGAGTCCCTCCGACTGGCTCTTTATTCCAACAAGTTGACACCCTTCGGCTTGAGAACAGTCCAATACATCATTTGCAAAATACGTTAAGTTCTCAGACCGTCATCTGTCGCACAATCACTGGGCCAGCACATGATCATATAAGACGAAAAGATGGACTAGCGATGTTGTCGCTGGTGTATGAAAGTTAGTATGAAGAATGAACAAGATCTAACCAACACACCTCAGTCCCATTGTACGTGAACTGAGGAAAGGTTGGGTTGCCCTAAAATTAAGATTTTAGAGTCAGGCGCTATGAATGCGCACTGACTTTGGGACGGGTGTCACCAAGAAAGGTAATTGGCGAAAATCAGATGCCACATGACTCAACATCACCAAATGTGAGTTGGTCATAGCATATGCCATTATACCAAGAATTCTAACAGATCATGATTCCTGTGGTCCATGATCTTGGATTAATCCCCGCTCTCTACTACCCCTTGCCCAGGAGTTTCCTTTCCTGGCACAAAGACCCAGCGGCTGCCTTTCCTTTACCATTATTTTCAGGATCGCTCCAACCAAATGTTTTCGCTTGGAAGCTGCAGCAATGCCCAAAATGTCGGACTCAGCTGTCGTGCCAGGCAGGGCCCCCAAGTTGTAATGTTTTCAACCATCCAGTGAGTGTGCTTGGTGGAGTCCATCAACCATTTCACTGGGGCATCCACATTAGAACCCGGGTGAGGAACATGAAACTTGTTGAAATGATGATTGGAGTCATCAAAGTGGAGGCACACTTCGAACCGCAACTGCACCCTGAGTATATTCGTCAAGCTGAAGAGTTGTAGACACCTTCGCACTATACAGATCTACGTTAAGTCCAAATTCACATGTGTTCACATCCATTAGGACCGTCAATGGCCTCTTGACCTTCATCAAGGTGCCGGCCATGTATGCCACCACGTCCTCTCTTGGACAATGTGTTTGAGGGGCATTGGACCTGTCCTTGCACCCGTGCTTTGGTTTGGCCAACTGGTAAGTTTCCCCATGGCGTGATGGGACCTGTAACTTATGCATGCTGACTCGGCAGTACTAGTCTCTGCAAAATTACACTGCATCTTCAACCGATTCATCGCATGCGATCTTGTGGGTCTTTCGCTGTTGCGAACCACTCACTTCTTCACTGAGGCGCTTGACCTTGTTTGTTCCTTCTTAGTTCTGCCTTACCCTTTCATGCATCCCACCCCTCCCCATCGCCTCCTGCTGTACCATTGACTGCCCCTGTATCTTGTTTCGACTGTTTTTCTTTTGTTTGCATTTAGCGCTTAGTGATAAGTGTTTGCGCTGGGATTGGTTCGACATTGTTTGTAGCTTGTAACTACAGGCCGCCATGTCTGTCTTGTGCAATCGCATTCGCTGCTGGCCCACTGCAGGCTGGGTCCACTACACTGCTGATCCAGACTGAATAGGTCACTGGCAGTTGAGCGAGTGGGAACCGTCACCAGCATCTGTGGGGAAGTCGATGCGAGAAAGGAAAGGTGGTAAAGGAGTCAGCACTAGCCATTTCAACAACACCAACCCAAATGCTTACTTTCTAGCAGGAGAGCACTGCAATATTGTGCTCCTGCACAGCACGGCTATGCGAAGGACCAACAGTTGTTCAAGAGCCATCAGAGGCAATGGGATGATTAGGAGTGAATGGAGAAGTGGGAAGGTTCCCACCTTGTCATCATTGATGCTTGGAGAGGTGATCTCGCTGGCGACATGAATCTGCAGCGCTCGAGCATGGTGTTTTCATGAATGGACCACTTCAGTGGTTAGATCCAGAAGCTATCTAAGTTCCAGGTTACCAGCCAGGGACTCCTGCAACATGATTGGTGTGACCTCCGACTCCGATTTTAATCAAATACACTGCAGGCCAGTACAGTCCGAGTTGATTTCTGTGGGAAAGACCAAGTCGAGATCGCTTCATTTACATGAACAATCACAAGAGTTTCAGAGTGGATTGGCAAGCGCTGCATGTGAAGCCGAAGATACAAAAACCACTGCATGGAACCTGCATCCAAAGAACCCCCCAATCCTGATCTCATTTGCGGCATCATCTCCCTAAATGGTGAACATGTATAGCCCCACAAATAGATGAACGTCACTCATCCCTGCTCATGCTCCAAAGGAGGTCTCCGCTATCGCCTTACATTTCTCCCCTTTCAAGGTCAAAATTCCTTGCGCTCGCAGGTTGACATTAACTGGGATCTTCATTGCATCTGGCTGGTGAAGAATGGTTGATGCTTGCAGACTGGCTGCCAGGTGGGCATTGTTGGTAGGCAAAGGAGAGCGGATCGCTTCCTCAGCAAGCAGATTAGTCAGTGGAATGGGTAACTGGAAGGCAAGGAAGATTGGACCACCATCACATGTGTGATCACGAAAAAGAACATGAGACTGGGATGGTTAGGACCAAAGAGGACCGCATCAGAATCTTGTGACACAAAACTTTGTCACACTGGCTTCGCAATCTCCCGAAGGCCGGCATTTCTCACTACCAGCAGGCTCACGTGGCATTCGACACCATGTGGAATCATTGTGGTAAGGCAAATATCATCACTTCTCCACAACCGCTGGGCCAATTGCCCTGAAACTTGACATTCCTAGGTAACTTTTTTCCCTCTATTATGAGTCCATCACTCTCAACGATGAGCAGCTATGATTTTAGAATTTGGGTGACATTGTAAACTTTTTTTTTTTAGTTCTAACACACTCTGTGGACATCGTATAGTTATTTCCCCAATAGTCCATCGGTCAGTTGGCAGTGTTATTCCACACCTACAACCTTCCCCCCTGGCCTCTCTTTGTGTGTGGTAGGAAACGAGGCAGTTCTGGAGGACTAGCTTCCCTCATGACCTCCCTGGTGGCTTCTCTGGCTGCATCCCTGGTGACCACTAACCCAGTTACACGTGGCCTCACACGAGGACGAGATGCAACTGAGGAAGTTGGTACAATGAATGTACCCTGAGTTGTAGATGGCACTTGAGTGGTGTGATTGGGTGTAGATATATGGCTTGAACCAATCGCTGGGCCTTGCACAGCATGACCAAGAGTGGATGCAACACAGCTTGGGGCAGTGCCAGCTGAGGCAGAAGGACCCACACTCCTTGAGCCAATGCCCAACCCTCTGGATCCTAAAAAAAAGAAAAATCACGTTAGACAACATGCAGTGATCATTTGCCCTTGCACTGACCACTGCTGTATTTGCCTCCCAGTTGCAACTCGTCCAAATCTGAACCCTCTGAACCACCCATGTCACCAGTTGGCTCCATCCGGCCTGATTGGTTCTCTACACTCTAAATCAGCATGCCAGTCGTGAGGGGTGATGCAGAGGCACAGTCTTACCACTCCAACTTTGGCTCCCCATGTAATCTGCCTGTGAGGTGCCAGTTGGATATGAATCCATCGATGCATATCTCTCCCAAGGTCAAATTAAATTATGTACTGGCCTCATGATCTGCATCACTGGGGGGAATTCTGGCTTTTGCTGGATGCAACTTGTAGCTGCTAGCATCAGAGCTGGCCAGTGTGCTCGCTTTATCTGCCTGCAACCTCTTGCCCTTGGTGTTGGTTGCATCAGAGGATCGCTTTTTCCTCTTGGAGGTTGAAGCCACTGACTCTTCCATGCCCTCTTCCACACTATCCATGGCTGCTTGGGCGCTTCCAGTTATAATTATTGCCTCCAGTTCTGTATGTATGTCTCAGAATCTGATGGACGATCAAAAAAGGACTTTACCTTCTCTGTCCGCCTGGTTAGTGAAAAGCTGAAGCTGGAGTGCCTTATGCTTGGATGTATTCAGCATGAACGTGTCAGCAGAGTTCACCGTGCACATATGGTAGCAATGGACGGGTGATTTCTGGGGTTGCCTGTGGACTCTAGCAATGATCTGATCTGTATCTTGCTGGCTCCATTGGGAATTCTAGTGGTAGGTGAATGTCAAGCAGAAGGATGACATGTTGATGCACTGAGAGGGACTCACCATAAGAATCAATCGATCAGCAGCGCTCAGATTCACACCAGCCTTCAGAACATTGGTAAAGATCAGGACCCTAATGTGCAGCCCATTCACGACCTCGCCACACCTCCACTTGTCAATGATAGGCAACCGGACCGATGCATCCTTGTCCCCATCCAGAACGAGGGCACCGATGTTGAGTTTGACATGGATGGTGGAGGCAAAGGCTGGGGCATTGGATTTGAACTCCATAAACACGGTGATCTTCTGATTCTGGGTAGGCTTCACAGTTGCACCAGGAGAAAGTGCAGGAATCTGGATCTCCCCAGCCTCATTCACGGTGCAGGGGGGGATGTCATCACGAAGGCAGTCATGCTTGATGATCTGCAGTGCAGTTTCCCACTTGGCACAGTGCTCCAACCCACCGTTGTGTTCTTCCAGGGACCCAAAAATTGGTGCTGACATGCCGCAAGAACAGGACACACAGTGATCTGTCCCCTTCCTACCCCTGATGAGAAATCTCTGATTTGTGTCATCAGCCCATAGTACACTCCACGGGAACAACTAACATCACTTATGCCATATTCTTGTCCCATGGTGCCACTGAAGGTGGCAGGGTGAATACCTGTATCAAGTGCTGAAAGAGAATACTAACTTGTCCACTGCTGCCTTCGTTATGCCTGACAGTGCATTCTCATGTGCTGAACCCAACTTCACCCACACCTGGATCTGGACGAGAGGTGGCAATGCAACAAGAAGAGTCCCATCACGACGCTTGGACTCCAGACAACAATGCAGAATCACCCCTTTGAAGTGCTTCTTGAGGTCTATGATGGACTCATGGATTAGGGCACGGTAACCAATGGCAGTGTCATCGGAGTTGATGGTGCTGAAATCTCCCATTTCCATCGCCTTCTCCAAGTCTGCCTTGCACCTCTTGCTTAAAGCTCTTTGCATAGATGCAATGCTCCTCTGAGTGTCCCACTGTTTGGAGGTGACGGCAAGGTCCATGAAGGTGGGGATACCGAGTATCCAAGGTTCAACAAATCCTGTACTTGGTTAGACACGATGTCGCTCTGAGGAATGGGATGTGATTACCTGGGGCTCTGTGATGAGTGGTGTGCCAGACATCCCGATGACAAATTGTGAGCATTCATGCATGGGTATCAACTCTGCCGGATTTTTGCGAAACACATGCACCTCATCCGCGATGAAGGTGCAGGGCCTGAGACAGAATATGCTCCCATCTGTGGACTGATTTGGATTGCGGCAGCATGGACATTCCCATACCGGTTGGCTCTTCATTCCAGGATGGGAAGGGGATGAGGGCTTGTTGAAAAAACGCAAAAATTCTTTCTTGTACAGCTGGCAGCATAGGATGGTGAGTATCTGAAATTCAGACGTGTCAAGATCTTACTGAATCAGAAACCACAACAATCTGTTGTTCCAGTGGCAACTGTGAGGCGTTCCAGGGGCCATTGCCTGCCCAGAATCCATTGGCTGACTTGGACGAGTACAGAAACACATCCACAGTTTGAGGTGCAAACCAGGTTCGAATCTCCTGCATCCAGTTCTCCATCAGGGACACTGAAGAGATTACCACATGTGGACCACAGTGTACGTTGGAATCCTTTGACCCAACTGGGAAGGGGCACTCAGCTATGGTGAAAATGTATCAGGGTATGTTCCCCTTGAGGTATTGGAGTGGTCGCTGCTCACCATAGATCGATCCATCAGGGAGATTCATGTTGTGATGTTTCTGTGCTGCGATTCGCGACATAACCATGGAAATGAATCCGAGTGCTTGCCTGGAAGAAAACTTCTTAGTCATAGTCCCAAGATGACCAAATCAACACCACTGCTTACGCAGTCTTCCCAATGCCCATAGTGTCAGCAATGAGGATGCCGGTTTTTGGGGAGGGTCGGGGCCGGAAAAGCATGGAGTATATGCTGTGGAGCCCATCTAATTGCTGCTCCTGAAGATGGAGAGGCTGGATGTTTCCACTCTGGCGATAGTCCTTCCAGGTTTCACGATCCCAGGGAGAGTAGATTTGCGAAACATCGTATTCCGTGTTCAGGAAACCAAGCTGCCGAGATTGTATGTGGCCAAGATTGAGGCCAAGCTTTTCCTTGAGCTGCTCCAATGAAAAGCCTCTTGCAGCTTCGATGCCCAGGTCTTCGATGCCCCATGATTGTTGACCACCAGAGGGAAGGCAATTGGTCAGTTGCACCTCTCTGAGGTCTTCAGGTCCCAAGCTGTACACATCCTGATCCCACAGCTTGACAAGGTAGCGCTCGAGATCCATACGTTGCTTGTCATTGGCAAGATTCTGCAGGACATACAAGGTGGTTGCAGTAACTGCAACCACCACTACAAATCGTCGGTGAGTATGAGACAAAACATTACTAAGGGTCACACACTCTTGTTCCCCACAAGCTTGTTCTCTGCACCCTCAACACGCATGTGATGCAGAAGCCATTCCATGTAGGTCTCCATCTCCATGATTTCCTTTCTCCAATGTTTGTCAATTAATAGTCTGGCCTTCTCCCACCATGTCAAGTATGAACGAATGAAACTATGAATCTTTGGCATATTGAGTTTGTCTGGCGTATTACCATCCAGGCATGCTCGAATTTCTGTGTTTGTTGTGTCACTGTGACGATGTAGAAATGAGGTCCTCCAACATACCATCATACTTGCGAAGAATTTCCACATGCAATTCTCCAGCTTCCTTTTGACTGCGGGACGTCTGGACCTGGAGATTGTGCCAGATGATACTAACCATTTTGTCGATTACATCCATCACATCCATGGAGATCATCATTTCGCCATCGTTCCTGTTGATTGTAGAAATTTCAGGGCCAAAAACTTTGTTTGCAATGTCCTGGTGCAGGTTGCCAAGGCTGACAGGTTTCGATGGGAACTTGACCTGACCCTCCCGCATCATTATTTGGTGAGGGTGGCAGGCATTCCGATGTAGGAGCTGAATGATGAGGTTATAACCATCTAGCCATTTCCAGATTTTCTGTTAGAAAGGTGCAGACTCGGACGACTCCGGAATGGAATCGGAGACTTAGCGTGGAAGGACCTTGGCCTCAGCGACTCAGGCGGAGCGCTGTGCCATTGCTGGTTGTCCTAGGGGTCCCTAATTTCGGATCTAGCAGAGGGAAAGTCTCTTGGGGGAATTCATGTCGATTTCGGACTGAGGTTACAAGTTACTAGGTACATTGTATATAAGGAGGGGTCCGGAATCAAAAGGAACAAGGGTAGGATGAAAGGAGACAAAGGGAGATGGAAAGAGGAACAACACCGAGGGTCAAGGGTTTGACTCAATGGTGTTTCTCAAAGGAGGAATGAAGGGCCAAGGCCCAAGGAGGAAGGAAGGAGGTTGGGAGTGGGGAATGGCTAGCTGACTGAATAGAAAGGAAGCAGCAGCCCAAATAGGAATGAGGGAGAATAGCAGAATTGAAATGGACAATGCAATAGTTGCAAGGTCCGGAATAAGTCCGGAAAGTCCGAACTCGGAAGTTAAACTCCGGAATATTGGCAAAGGCAATTAAATGGAATGAGCTAACCAATACAATGGGTATAAGCGGAGGTGGGGTCAAAGTCCGAGGTCGGAGCTAAGACCAGAGACGGAGACGCGAACGGGATTCTGGAGTGGAGGTCTGGAGTCAGGAGCATAGGTTTTGCATACTCGTCTGGAAGGTGTCAAGGTTGGGGTCGGACCCGGAATGTCCCGGAGTCGGACCGAAGGTGGTGTCCGAGCCGGAGGTGGGATAACCTCTTGGGAGTCGGCAAGGAGAAAGTGATGGAAGGGAAGTAGGGCTCCGGAAGTCGGAGTTCGGAGTTCCAGGAGCCTGGAGTGGAGGTCGGGATTGTATGGATATGACATTTTCTTCCAAGCATCCTTCCAGAGTTTCTTCACAGGCGCCAGTTCTGGGTGCGTTTGAGATGTGAAGAGGATTCCGATTTGATCAGCAGACTTGTTGCCTGCAACCTCAAAGAGCCGCTGCACAGATTGCATCTCAGAGTGAGTCCAGCCAATGTATTCCGGGATGAGCGCAGCACTGTCAGGGAAGAGTCCCAACTGGAGCTGAGTGGCCTGCCTCCAGATTGCACCAATGAAAGGGAGACGAAGATGTTGGTCCACATCAAAGTTCGCCCCAAGTCCCCAAAATATGGGCATTATGCCTACAATTGGAAGTTGAGGCATCGTAGGACTACCTTGGTGGATTAGGTAGTTCGTTTTTGGTAGTTTACCTGTAGGGGGGAGTTTGGACATAGACATATCAAAATCCTTACGGCATTTTTCATCACAGCATGGGGACACTGCTGTGGACTGCCGGCATCTGGATGAAAACCCTGAGATCTGATTTTGGCCAGATGCCATGGTCATTGTTAGCAAGGTCTTCTTTAGCAAGGTCGTCACACTCAGGAATGATTCATATCCACTGAAATTACGTGTCATGTTGCCACACATGTCATGACAGGATGGAGGTGGCTCCAGAGGAACCAATATGACAATATATGACAATAAAACTCGGACAACTCCCACAATACAGCTGAGGTCGTAACTAAACAGTGGTCTGTTCCTCTGGTGTGGTATTCCTCATTCCTCATTGCACTATTCATTCCTCAACGTGAGGAAAGCCTATTGCAACACTGTACAGCCACACATACACAGACAGTGGCTGTTGCTCATGTCAAGGAACAAACAGTGACATGAGCAATGGCAATGCCACACTTGGAGGAACAGACCTTGTGCTGGCAGTACCGTGTCGATAGGAAAATAAGGCAATGCTTGGGGCAACTCTGCAACCATGTGAACACTAACATGTGATTCCACAGAGTCAATGCATATCACATTTGAGTTGTGTGGCTGTACAGATGTATAATAGGGTATCCTCATGTTGAGGAACCAGCATGTGGGGCAGATTGGCTTACATCATGACACATATATAAGGATGGGTTGTCAACTCTCCCTTCAATTCCCCTCCAACAGCCCCACTCTCACGGATCAACAAAGAATGCCCCCACGTGATCATGCAAATGAACTCCTGGATTTTCAGTTCTATACACTCCAAGAGTTCACTTGGGAATGTCGGTCTCTTTTGAAGCCATGTGAAGGGGACAATGAGGATGATTCAGATGCAAGAGTGGTTGAGTTTGCAACATCTGGCAGACACCCGGACCTTGCCATGCAAGCCTATGTTGATGTTCTGGCATATGTGCCCCCCGATAACACAGAGTTCACACTGACAAGGGATTTTGACTCCCTCATACACATCTCACGGACACTCGGGCACATCAGAAGAGCACTGAGCGTCTATCCCATCCCTCAGTTCAAACACACTATCAGGTGGCCCCTCCATCTCCAGTATTCTTTCCATCCAGGTACAACAGTAAGCAGTTGCCTCTAGAACACATTTACCTAGACTAAAACTATGCTTCCCAGGCAAAATTACACAAGATCCCCAACGTTGGCTTGGCATCCATTGGTGAACGCATCACCATTAGCCTCTTCCTCCTTGGTCTAAGCTCCGAGGAACATGATGGCCCTGTCAGGGACAGCTCCGAAAGCGGTGAGGTCCCAGCACAAGGGACTCGATGGGACAGATGTCGGCTATGCGTAGCGGCGGTCCTGTTGTGGGGTGAGCGTCCCCGACCACTTAGTCTGAAGTGGGAAGTTGAATTATCATTAAAAGGGGAAGCTACAGTACTTACCTGAAGTGGGAAGTTGAGAAGAAGGCTGCTTCTTCTGTTCCCACCCCAGGTGCTATTATATACATGCGGCTGGGGTCACATGGGAGGAGCCACGTCATCCCCACACACAGCTGCACTCCCCTGGGTATCTCTGTGGGAGATCCCGGAGGTGTGCCGCTCTGTGAGTGGGAATGCGCGTGGTGGGCGCGGCGATCGGGGGAGCGGGGTTAAGTGTGTAGTAATACATAGAGAAGGGGAAGTCGACCATGGAACGGAAATAGAAAGAAAGAAGGAAAGGGGAAAGAAGAAACAGGGAGTGATAGTGGGGGAGCGGAGTAGGGCAGCGCGGCGCAGGGTCAGGTGGGGTGTGCCCTGACAGGCCCCCAACTTACACAGGAACAGATGGCCACGCTATATCAGCAAGTCAAGTCATCAAACTGGCAGCGCTCACAGTACAGCCAATGACAAAGAGTTCATGGCCCCCATCTTACCGCACCGAAATGTTTCAATGCTCACATTCTGGTGGAGGGCTTTCGTTTGGATCCGTACTGGTCGCTTCCGATGATGCTGCACTCTTTGGTGATGAAATCGTGCGTCTCCTTGGCACATATCCCTGGGGTCGGCATGCCTTCTTTCTCACTGATGTGCATGGTCACAAGGATGCATGTCGCCACGCTGCCAAAGCGCCTTCAGAGCCAGCGGAGGAATTCGAGGTGTGGTCGGAAGTGGAATTGCGCAAAATGGCTGGTGGTCTAGATTTGGATGAGATGATGGTGACAAATGACAGGTTCAATGCCTGCTATGTCGACGTTGGATTGGAAGTGTCTACAACAGACAATTCAGTCTTCTGGCATATGGATGCCCATCACCTAATCCTACAAGAGATGTTCCCCACCTGGAATGAGGCCATTTTGCATGCACATACTAGACCCTTGCACAAGAATTACAAGCGTGACCTTGTAGCCCAGCTCACTGAGATTTCTGGCTTCCGATATGAGGTATGTTGGCCAAATATTTCCTGGTCCCACTGACAGAGACATCTTCAGGTGCCTGTCAGGCAAAACCAAAATGGGGCTCAGTACCTCAATGTCTATCACACAGACAAGGCACTGACCTACAGACTCTCTCGCAAGGGAGTCACCAACTCTGCAGAGGCAGATGCTGTCATCCTCACAGGGCAAGATTCTTGGTTCCAGGGGATGTACAATACGTACTTCAAGGCATATGAGGAACGCTACACTGGTGCTGCCTGATATGAAGCATGAGTGCAGATCACCAAGGCACATGTGGTGCTGACGTTGATCTCCTCTAACATACTGTTCTGTGCAGCATTAGTCATTCCTCCCAAAGTGATATGGTGAGTGTTATTGCTCTTGCAGACCAGTGGAGGTGAATTGGCCACCATTTCTAGGGAATTCAAGCGCGTCTGTTTATTAGCACTGTTGTCAGGGACGCGTCCGGGGTCGAGAGGGCCCGGGGGTAATGCCCGGCACTGAGGCCATCGTGGGGTGTGGAGCGGGCGTGCGTACTGGTGGGCCCGATCCAGGACAGTGGTCCCTGGCCACTCAGGCTGAAGTGGAGAATGTGTTATTATTATTCAAGGGGAAAACTATACTACTTACCTGAAGTGGAGAATGTGAGAAGAAGGTTACTTCTTCGGTTCCCACTTCAGGTACATTTATGTACATGCGGCTTGAGTCACATGACGAGTGTCACATCATCCTCGGGGGCAGCCACAGGCATCCGGGTGTCCCCATGGGGGATCCCGAGAGCGTCTGCTGCATGCGCGCGTGCTGGGCACAGTGGGAAGCCGTCCGGGGTGTGTGGGCCGGACAGGTCAATAGTACATCGATACAAAGGAAGGTGGTCCGTGTAGATAGAAAGAAATAAACAGGAAGAGGAAGATGAGAAGAAAGAAATAAAGAAAGGGGAAGGAAGAGAGAAAAGAGAGGGGAGGAGAGGGAGGAAGGAGGGGGGAGGGGGATGGACAGTGGGGAGTGGGTGTGGTGTGGCCAGGTGGGTCCGGGTGGACCCGGGTCAGGCAGGTGTGCCCTGACAACTGTGGACTGTCATCCGATGGCAACAGAACAGTTCAGGCAACAACGCAACCAGGGAAGAAGCCCTTGCCTTACGGGCAACAATACTTTGGATGATGAACTCGCTTAACAGTCGTCCACATGAAGGTCAAGCATTCAGACAACTTGGAGACTATGCCCTCCCACACACTTCGGATGCTGAAGAAAACATCTTCACTGGGAAGCCAATCATCCTCCCACCAAACTTCAATAGACCTTGTACAGACATGCACTATTGGGACACAGAACAGCAGTCACAATGACAGCAGCCACAGCGACGACAGCCTCAACAACGGCAGCAGCAGCGAGAAGATGACAATGACGACGAGGATGATGACAGTGACGAAGAAGATGAGGATGAGGATGAGGATGGAGATGAGGATGGAGAGCAGGAGCAAGGTCGCCAAGGACTTGTGCATTTTTCCTACGTGCCATTTGGGGTGTTCATGACTCGGAGGCTGGTTCTCCACCCACACACAGACTGCCCCCGATTCGAAGTGTCACACTGGCATCGGCTCCCACGTGAATGCTGGCCTGTACTGCTCAAGTATGACCTTTACACGCTGAAGCAAAAGGTCTCCAACCTGCAACTCATTCACACCTCCCACCCAGACCATGTGGTATGCTCCAACAGGCCAACGATGTTGGTTGATGAGGCACCTGAAGGAGCGGAGGAGGTCCCCTTCAATCTCAGTAGACTCCACAGAACAACATTGAGGATGGGCCACGATGACGGGGATGACCTCCCATTCCAACAACAGGTTTCCCGAGGCAGCCAAGATATTCAACAAATGCTCAAAGATATTTGGTGAACATTCCCAGTTGATGTCTTTATAAAATCTCCAGGGGTAAAAGGTGGGCGGGGTGCTCACATTCGCCTCAACGACTCAGAGCAGAGGTCAGCCACGATGGACATCTTTGAGGACTTCAATCTCGCACATGCCTTTATGCATTGCAAGGTGAAGCGCATTGACCAGTATGACTGGGTTAAGAATTTGGGGCTCTTCTTCCTCCCAAAAGGAGTGCAAGCACCTCCTGGTGGCAAGTCCTGGACCCACCTGGCTTATTGGAATGAGTGGGGCAGTTTCAAGGAGAACCAGGACATCACTGAGAGAGACGTGCAACTGGTCCGGAAGCAGATCTTCAAGCGTTTTTCAAGGGCAGTCTGGCTTGTGATCGCAGCATCCGATCGCCTTTGGAATACCCGCAAGTGGATGGAAGGTGAGATGTTCCCAAGGGGTGCAGATCCCAACCTCACTGCTCCCATTGTACTTCTCAACCCAGAGTTCAGACTCAGCCAGATCCAATGGCTTCGTGGACTAAGAAGTGCCAGAGACAGAGAGCGTCAAGCGGTGGTGAAAGAGGCAGAGGAAAGTGAAGAGGATGGACGGATGTGTGAAGTGCAGAGTGTTGGGCATGACTCTAAACTGGTTATTCTGACTGACACGGAAGAGGAGCTAGTCATTTTGAGTGACACAGACGACAAGCTAGTTGTTCTGTGAGGGGTGCCCTGTTGTGAAGGATAGAATCGGTACAATTCCATCTAATAATTAATAGCAGGGGTTGTGTGACTCATGACAACAGGATATCGTGCATGGTGCTCTTCCGACTTGAACACGCAGTCACATCTATTAGTATGATTCTGAGAGTAACGCTGCCAATGTAAACCATCTCTCGAGAAACACTTCTTATAAAACCATTTTCTTTATGCTTTCGACATGTTGAGGAAATAACACTTTTATGTAATCAGTCTCTCGGTATGACGATGCATCGGAATTACACCCAAACCCTAACCAACCCGGAATCCCTGCTTTTCAGACGTTCCTGAACCCAGATGAATGGCTGCGGACTTCAGTTGCGAAGAGAACTCTGTGAGTCCCAACTGCAGTTAGAGTATAGGCAGAGCTTCAAGCACTAACCTGGTGTGGGACATTGGATCCAAATTCATAAACTCTTTCTGTATGTGCCGACAAGGGACAGTGCAGATGATGACTCAGCTGCATAATGGTGGAGCCCCTTACGAACTGGTGAGAAATGCCACAGCCTCACAAGCAACATTTGGGAAGCGACACTCCATGCAGCCGGAACATTGTGTCCTCCCAAATCACTTGAACGCCACTGCCTGCAGTGCCATGAAAACGAGTTCAGATTGCACCTGAAGCTGGGAGTCTGAGTATTCCAAGTCCATTGTGAACAAGGCAAGGAAGGTTCTTTTTAGAAGCCAAAGGAGTGCTGATTAGTATTTCTGACGATCTGCAGACCCATCCAATGGAGTTGGAACGAGCAGATCTCTCCTCTGGGCATATTGTGCACATGCATGTCGGCCAACAGAACATGGCTGTCACCCACTGCTAAATGAGTTACATACAAATGAAGGGAAGCGGTGCCAATGATGGCCACTCACAACAACTCCATCGCTTTGCGAGGAACATCAGCTCCTTGGTCATTGAAGGCTTGCAGGTTGGTGTGATACTTGAACTCCTTCTGGATGGAAGGCGAAGACAGTGTACATCGAAAATCTCCCCTTCTTGTGTCGCACTATTGCCCTCTCTAGGGATGAATCGAAGAATGCAAGAGGGGAAAGAGGATGACCAAAAAGTCGTATTTGGCCTGTATGTTGCGTGTTGTCTAAGTACCACATATAGACTGACCATTCGACGCTGCTGCACTGCAGTAAGCCATCGACCCAGGGTGAATGATGTTGAAGCGGAAGTGGCAGACAAAAAACTGGAAGGTTGTAAAAGTAAAAGTGAGGAAGGTCAGGGCAACTCAGGCTGGAACACATGTGTGATTGCAACATGTGGAACACCTGTTGAGTCGACGAAAAGAGGCTTTCATAAAAGTATGGATGACCATGACCTTCACGAGATTAGTATGATCAGACTGAAGGTCTGCGATGAGCTTGTTTGGCCAATGCCAGTGTCATAGCAGGCGGGCAACTCACAGCGTGGGTGGAGTAACTTGAGGAAGCCAGGGAGGGGGGGCGACAACTAAAGGAAGGGGAAGAGGTAGGATGGTGCAATCGAAAGTGTTGTCAGCGAGAAAGAAAGGTGGCAACAGCTGACCAGTCGACCCCAGAGCAGACCTGCTCTATTAGGGCATTGGAACCAACTGGCCAGTGTGAAACAAGAAAACCTGCTTTCAATTGTCAGCTAGTTCCAGTGTCTGTGACATCTGTAAGTGTTACAGTGGAACCTGACATTCAATACTTTATTTTACGGGGCGGAACCCCTCCAGGTCCCAGCTTAGTTTCCAAATGCTGGCTCGCCCTTTGTGGTAAGTTGCCCTGCAATGCAATGGGACCTGTAACTTATGCATGTAACACTGGTCTCTGCGAAATTACTTTCCATCTTCAATCAAATTCTCATGTGCAATCTTGAGAGTCTATCATGGCTGCGAACCACTCACTTCCTCACTAGGGCGCTGGCCCTGCTTCATCCTTAGTTCTCATTCTTAGTTTGGCTGCATTACCTTGATCTTGATCATCTTACGGTCAGGGTGCTGAGTTACGTATGTCGTATGATAAAGCTGGACCTACTGAACGCATTGAGTCGCCAGCAGGTGCAGCCACCCTCCAACAACTCAATGACGTTGGTCAGCTGATTCGGAGCAAACCAGATCCCTCTTTGTGAAGTCTATGGGCCCTTTTGGATGCAATGAGCAAACCTTCAGTAACAACGAAACGCTACCTTTACTGTGAGGTCTTTGGGTAGCTCAGCACACAAGGCTGTAAGTGATACAAGTATGTGTATTTTACGGTGGTGTGTAAGCAGTTATCCGGAGGTTCCCGCTTACCCACGTGACTATATGTATCTAATTTACATGTGACTCGGGGTTCGGGGCTATTGCCCTGACATTCTCCCCCCTTGCATTGCATTTGCGATGCATACAAGGTTGATAGTGAAATAAAACAAAGTTTTAATAATTGATTTACATTGAGTTTGGAATTATCAATGAGTGTTTTGTTGTCGCCACTTTAAAGTGGGCCAATTTATACATGTCGGTGAAGGAGAGAGAGAGGGTTTAAGGAATAAATGAGTGTGGGCTGTTACTTTGAAGTGAATGGTGATACATGGGTATCGCAGGGAGAAAAATAGTGGAGTTTGTTGAAAATGAATTTCGACCCAAAGGTTGTATGTCTTTGTTGTTCCTCACTTGTTCCGTGAGGGTTCATGTGTAAGTGGTGTTTACACATGAGCAGTGGTGGATGTGGGTCTTTTGGCAGAGTGGAGATTTCCGCAATGTTACTTGCGGTTCCTCACATACAGTATTGTGTGTGGGGCCTCAAGTTGGGGGAAGGTGTTTTCACAGGCGCCTCGATGGTGTATTACCGTGTCACTTTCCCTTTTCTCAAGGGTGGAGTCATTGCCCTGGAGGAGGGTTTTCCTCCAGGTTGTTCATCTGGACATCTGATTGCTGCGTCGGATGCGATGACATAGCCTGGGCTACATTGTCGGGCTGTGGGCTCGACGAAGTGGGCGCTCCCTGGGTGGGAGCAGATTGTTGTGTTCCTGAGCTACTTGGCTCAGGTGTGGAGTATGGTAGGTCTACCGTTCTTCCCATGGGGAAGGGTGGTCGTTGGGCTGGTTGTCCAGCGTGGAGACTTGCGTCTCTTTCCCAGTATTTGGAAGCTTTCGCTTCCTGTTCTGCAGTTCTTGCAGCATGTTCTGTTAGAACAGGCAGATACAGACGACTCCGGAATGGAATCGGAGACTTAGCATGGAGGGACCTTGGCCTCAGCGACTCAAGTGGAGCGCTGTGCCATTGCTGTTTGTCCATTTGGTCCTTAATTTCACAGTAGGCAAGCAGGAAGTCTCTAGGGGGCATTTCAGGTCAATTTCAGACTGAGCCCAAAATGAGTATGTACAAGCACCGATATATATAATGGAGGGGGCAAAGCACAAGGGAACAAAGGGGATCCGAATCAGAACGAAGACGTCCAAACAGGAACAAAGGGTAGACAGAAGTGGAGCGGTACCGAAGGTCACAAGGCAGGACCTGTGATATGTCTGAAAGGAGGTAGGGAGGGCGAGGCCCAGAGAGGCAGGAGGATGAGGAGAAGTGGGGATGATGACTAACTGGCTAGAATGGGAAGAAGCAGCAGTCCAAATAGGGATGAGGGGAAAACGCGAAAGATACATTACAAGCGGCGAAAGTGCCGAAGGCGATCTGCGAAGCTCGGAGGTTGCAGAGCTTACAGAGGTTACGGAGGTGGGGTTGAAAGTCTGAGGAATATTGGCAATGGTGTTTACGTAGTATGAGGTCACCAATGCAATGGACTAAGACCGAGGTGGAGTCAAAGTCCGAGGTAGGGACTATAATGGAGGCTTGGAGCAAAGGTATGAGCGGTGCCCAAGTATGAAGTATGGGACAGCGGTGGAAGGTTGTAACTTGGCAGGAGGTCGGCAGAAGAGTACCAGAGGGAGGAGAGAGGAGAAAGGTAAGAGGGAAGGAGTGGCGGAAGGGAGAGTTGTCAGGTCCGAAGGTGAGTATCGGAGCGGATGGGGAAAGCCTAGGGGGTGACGGAAGGGTGGCAGTGTTGTGAAGGAGGAGCAGAGTATGAGGAGGAGGAGTAGTAGGAGGGTGGCGAGAGGGGCAGTGTTCGGTCCGAGGTGAGTATCGGAGCGGATGGAGATAGGGTTGGAGAGGTAAGGAGGGGTAGAGGTGGCATGGGGGGTAGAAGGAGGTGTGTTGCCAGGACCGAAGGTGAGTATCGGAACGGGCAGCGGTAGGGTATGACTCCCGAGGTGGGGAAGGAGGAGGTCCGGAAGTCGGGTCGGGATCAGGTATGCATGGATATGACATGTTCCTCAGGAGTCCTGAGTGGTTTGAACTGAGACTTTAGATAGGTGGCTTTGCCTAGACTTTCCCAGGAGATTTTTCCCTTCTTCTCCGGGGAATTATACTCCTCCGTGAGTCTTGCAATACTCGGGAGTCCCAAGAAGTATTTCTCGGTTTCCTTCGCTTTATCTCAAAGGGTTCTGTGTACCTTGCCGCTTTTGAAGGCGGCTTCGGCCTGTTCGTACCAGTGTATGCATTCTTTCCCGCTCATGCTTGTCCACCAAGCATATGCGGCGTTGTGCACCACTTCTGACCCTGCTATTCTCCTCATGGGGAAGTTGGGGTTGAATGTTACATCAACTGGAGCTTCGACTTTGCCGAACTTGTTGAGTTCGGCAGTCTCGTATAGCATGTGGACACTTCCCTGCAGGGTAGCTTGCCCATAGGGTGCTGAGGTACTCAGTGGCCCGCTGCCTCTGGCAGTGGTCCCCGTTTTAGGGTCTGCCATTGGTTGCCTACCGCTCTCCCTCTTCCCCTCGACATGGGTTTGCCCTTATGCAACCCGGACAGGGTCGCCTGCCCATGGGGTGGCGGGATAGTCGGTGCCCCACCCCTTGATGTGCTAGTCCCCATGTGGGGTCGCACCTCATGAGGCCCGGAACCGTATCCCCTCCCCCTGGGAGGCCCCCATCATGATGGGTTTGGCAGCGAGGTCTGCCAG